TCTCTCCTCTGCTCTAATCTAATCAAATTTGATGTTTCCAAACACACCGCAGCTGGCTAAAGGCACAGCTATGATACCCCAGGAACAAAGCCCACGCTTGTTGTTAGAGAGCTACCTAAGCTTCTCCAATTCCTGCCTCAATTTAGCATTCTCTCCCTGAAGCTTAACACTGGAAAAACAACAAGAAAGCAATTTAACAGGCTAACGCTGTGAGTGAGTGTTCAGGTGTGTGTGTGTGTGTGTATTACCCTCACAATTGTTCATTGCTTATTGTGGAGCAGACATCCTCTGTGGGCTGATGGGGGCAGGTCTCCTGTGATCCAACAGTACGCTCACTCTGCAGCAACTGAGTGGAGGAAATTCAAACATCAGGAGACAGTACTGACATCAACAACCTTTTTAAAACAGCTTTGAAATTTTTTCTCCGTCTTTTTACAAACATGTTTAAATATGAACAGAAGTAAACAATAAGTATAGAAAAGGCCTCACTATTGACATTTGCTGTTCAGAGGTTAGTAAAGCTATCTCGTAGCCTAATATGTAAGAACATCCAATTTTTAAACGCATTTTTTATACATATGCTACATGTTTATAAAATAGCTAGATGTTGGTGGTAAATATAGGATGAGGTGGTGGTAGATATGCTAACACTTTTACTCTTTAATGCATTATTAAAACATCATAAGCAATGTCTTTCTTCATGTGAATGACATAATAGGGGCTGATAGCTTTGATGCACTATGTGTACATCAAATGTAGAGATCACTCCACTTCAGTCAATACTGCAAAGGTCCTTTCATCACTTTGACCTACAGTACCCAGCTCTCACTTTCATCTTAGGCTAACGAGGGGCTCATTAATTTCTTATCAAAGGATCCTGATTTACTGCAGGTCTATGGAGGATGTTCAGCCCTACATACACAGAGAATGGATGGGGTCGTCACATTTTAAATAATACAAGGAGTCACACACGGGTGCTCACTTTAACACACAAGGTGAAGGTGAATCTGTCTCAAAACATTAGGACACTTTGTAATCAGATGTATTCGATTTGGTAGACAGGGGCAAAGAAAAAAAAGAGAAGGGGGCGAAAAAGATGGAATGAAGACCGAAAAGAGAGCAGCTTTGTGTTAAAGCATGGCAAGAAAGTTCCCTCACACATCTGGAAAGAAGACACTATCTCACTGTGTGTTAGTGTGTGTGTTTGTGTGTGCTACGTGCACGTGCATGCAGGAATGGCCGTTCCGCCACGTTCCAGATAATTCCACACACAGGCGGGTCCACACTCTCCCTCTGTACTCCCGTCCCCAGCTCCACTAACACACCATCGGTCACTCCGGGTTCTGCTTGTGTGTAACTGTCCAGACTCAGTGAAACAGACGACTGCGCCTGTCTGTCATAGGCTGTTTAACAAGAAATTCTGCCTCGAGACTCTCATTCTGCAGCTGCTGAGAGCCAGAGGAGCAAATCACAAGTTTTATCAGCAAGAAACACATTCAGCCTATCAGCCGAATCTATCATATCTCTGCAGACTTCTACCTAGACTCTAAAACCATTAAAACATCGTATAAAAGTAGTCATGCTATTGGAGCCGTAAAAGATTAAAAATAAATCCTATGAGAAATTGAGTTACAGGATAATATGATAATCTAATCAAAATCGGAGTTGGTCTATTATTACCAGTATTCAATCAAGGTTATCATGTGCTCCCATTTGGCTTCCGCATGTAATAAGAGAGAACGTAGGAGATAAATAAAGATGAGGTGGATGTGTATGATTTCAACATACAAAAAACGTATGTCCTCTTTTTCTATTTTTATTACAAGTAGCTTATTAAAAAAAAAAAAAAAAAGATTATATCTGCAGAATAACAAACTACCATACTAAACTCATTGATCATTCCTTCCAAGCCTTTCAATGGTCCAAGGTTGTTCTGCAGAAATGATAGGATACATTTAAAAATATTCATTTCATTTGATCAGCATCTTGTATAAGAGTTGAGGCAAGAGTTTCTAACCATATTTTGGGTCAAGGCTTTCAACTGCATAACATTTAAGATCACAATGTGGGACAGAGCAATATGGTGAAAGAACAAACCTGTTTAGTTAAGGCTGTTCAGCCAACAATCTCTGTCCTCTTAACACTCAACCTGCAACCAAAGGCCTGACCCTGTTAGAAACACTTTGTCTGCAAAATATCACAAAGACACTTTAATTCAAACAAAAGGCCAGGTGCACATGGAGGAGGAAAATTGTTCAGGATCAATAATAAACCAGAGACAACAAAGGTTTACATGAGACAAAAGACAGCGGCTTAGAAGCTACACTAATCCACCTGTGTCACAGTGCCATCTAGCTGTCAAAATACGAATTGCAGTCAATTAATTGATAACAACAACAAAAAGCTTTGTTTTTAATCTTTTCATTGAAATATCAGAACAGTTTAACTAAATGCAATTCAACAAGATGGCCTACTGCGCTGATGTTCATTTGCATAAAGTCTGTTGTTTTCTATAAAATGTCAAACTTTTTAATGTTACATTAAACGGGGTTTAGGACATCTGTACAATCCAATACATTCTGCAGCAATAGACATGTACTAGACAGTAACTGATTATAGTAGTGAATGTTCCACTCCTTCAGCACTGGGGTCAGCTTTGGCTAATATATGGTGGTGTTTTACAATGCATTAGTATTGTAAGGTCTCCATGTTATTTGTTCTACTACTTGTGCATAAAGTCAGCAATGGATGTATATGTTACCACCCAAGACACACCTGCAGAAGCTGTTTAGCACGCAGCACACTGTGACACATGTTAACAGACCGTAGATCACAGACAGAAAACAACCATGATGCAGAGTCGAGAACAATAATGAGAGCTGCAAAAGACTTATAGACATCAATTTAGGAGTCACACACACACACACACACACACACACACACACACACACACACACACACACACACACACACACACACACACACACACACACACACACACACACACACACACACACACAGCATGCCTGGCTTCTCCTTTGGACACAGGCACTTGCTGAACTGCAGAATGTTAAATAAACCAGTGGAGGAATTCAACTGAGTCAACAGTGTGTGTGTGTGTGTGTGTGTGTGTGTGTGTGTGTGTGTGTGTGTGTGTGTGTGTGTGTGTGTGTGTGTGTGTGTGTGTGTGTGTGTGTGTGTGTGTGTGTGTGTTGAGAGCAGAACAGAGTGGTGTCTGTCGCAGGGCAGTCCTGAGTAAACACACACACACTCTCTCTCTCCCCCTCTCTTTAGGAACTACCTACCCACAAATGCACAGAATCCAGCTGCTATGGCAACAGAAACCTTCTCACATGTACCCAGACAAACAGACAGACAGACAGACAGACAGACAGACAAACAGACAGACAATTGATATTGATTATTTAATGGGGAAAATCTGAAATTGGATAAAACACAAGCAAATAATTTCGCTCACATTAAATTAATATTAATAATGCTGTCATTCAAATTGTGGTATTCCATTACAAGACAGAATAGGAAAACTACAGTAATGTAGGTATACCTATGAAACTGTCTTAGCAGCACAGGTCAGAAGGTAATATGTAACTTTTTTTAGTGACCTAATAGGTGCTTGTTTTACGCAGGAAACTTTTAAACATCAGCAGGTCATGTCAAGGTTGATGTTAATCTTTTACCTAAATACACATAACGCATGCATTATACACACACACACACACACACACACACACACACACACACACACACACACACACACACACACACACACACACACACACACACACACACACACACACACACACACACACACACACACACACACACCACACACACACACACACACACACACACACACACACACACACACACACACACACACACACACACACACACAATATGATATATTTATTTTCCCTGAGAGGAAACACATTACAGGCTCACAGCTCTTCTAATCTATCATGATTACAAAAACAATACAACTAAACAAAAGTAGTCATATCTGAGCCAACCATTGAATAAATAATACCAGCAAATACAAAATAATTAACACCTTTGAGAAAACTAAAACATCAATCCCCAAATATTTGTATTCTTCACACTCCACAGTTCATTAAGCCTTTTTTAAGCAGACATTTTGACTTGTCATAGTAGGAAAAACCCTGATATCGTGTCACTGATAACAAAGGTAACTTGGCTCAAGTAAGCCATGTACAATACCAAGAGTCTGCTAGACAATCTGGCTAGAACTCTGTAAAGGTTAAGATACTGAAGTTATACTGTAAAGGGAACTACCCAGGCAGTGTCCCAAAAAGCTATGCACTAAACATAAAAGGGTTACATTGCCCTAACAGGTGCAATATGAAGAGAGTGAGGCCAATGTCAATCAAGCACAGTTTGTACACACCTGTGCAATGCAAAGGGGCTTTAATATGTGACTGTCATTGTGTTTTGGTTCCATAGTAAACAATAAAGGCTAATAAATGTACACTGTTTGCCTGTTGATGTACACTATTGACAAGTAAAATAAAGAAGCTAATATAATCTGCTGCAGAAAATTGGAGAGTTGGAAAACAAAATGAACATTGATTAAATATATTGGCAGTGCCAGTGCCCTAGGGCTTTGGGCAGTGCTATACCGATGGTCCGATTGACATCTTTCAGTGCGCATAGTGCAGCATGATGTTGTATTGTGTAATAAACATCTCAACTATGTTGAAAAACTCTCACCTAGCAATAGTCGGTACTTAATAGTCCTCCTCCGTATAACACAAGTGCTGTTTTGTTTCATTATTCATTTCATTAAGATATTCATTGCTATCGGGATGTTAAGAGCATTCCATGGAATATAACAAAAAGTGTATCTCGAGCCGGTTTCTCAAACTTACCTACCCCACCTTTAACAGGCCAAGCTCAAACTTTTACTGTGGAAAATCGTGTGTGCTGCAGGCGTGCCTGTACCGTGCGTCAAAATGACGTCGAACGTAAACCAGAAGTGACGTAATCTCCGTTCCCCGTACCTCCGTGTTGCACGTGTGTTTACAAAAAATGTGGACGATTGAGCTGAATCAGTGATAGTATTCATATTCTTTAAACACAGTTGCTCTTGACCGGTTTAAACATGGGGAAGCTTAATGTCGTGGTGTTGAGATACTTATCTCGAGATGACTTCCGGGTCCTCACAGCGGTAAGTAGTGAGCTAGCTACAAGCTAACTGTTCTGTGTGAGCTGAGTTAGCCTGTGCTAGGCTAGCTTTCCAATGTAACGCTTTAATACACGAACTAATGTTGTCAGCAACTTATTAACGAGCTGTCAAAATGTAGCTTGACGTTATTACCCTGTTGAATTGGGTAAAATAACGTCTGTGTTGTCAGGGTGTTTTTGTCAAAAGTAATATTTTTAGTTTGGTCTGATTCTGTCCCATCAGTCTTTTCTCTGTTAGTGTGTCCTTGATCCAGCTGTTAATATCGAGTTTCATATATTATTTGGATGAAACAGTTTATTTTTCGAATGATTTTAATATATTAAATTAAAGTAAGAAATCTTGCTGATGTATTGGTTTAAGTGAGTCTCTGCTTTCAAGTACCCACTTATATCGTGGTAAATTATTAATCATGTAATCCTATTCCAAAATCAAGTTGAATTTCTAAGTGGAAATTACTTTTTGAATCCTACACTTAGATCAGTATTTCATTATAAAACAGCACAGTTTCACATCATTGACTTAACAATACTTATTAAGATTTTCAGCATTTTGCTTAAATGCTTGTTTTTTTTATTGACCTCAATATTACTTTTAACCTAAACTCAACTTTTATTATTGCTCATATCCATTTAGCTCCACATCACTGTAACACTGTTTCTGAGAGCAGGCTTGAATTCCAGCACACTTGGCAGTCTTTTTCTGATTCTTCCTGTGATTTTCCCCTCACACAGGTTGAGATGGGGATGAAGAACCATGAGATCGTCCCAGTGAGTCTCCTGTCCTCCATCGCTAGCCTTAAACATGGCGGCTGCAACAAGATCCTCAGAGAGCTCGTCAAACACAAGCTTGTGGCCTATGAACGCAGCAGGGGTAAGAAAACACAGACATGCTTGCTGAACATTCGTAGTCCTGCTCCACGTTATATTTCCTAATGCATCCTGTATATGTTGATTCCAGCTGTGCAGGGTTACAGGTTGAACAATGGAGGATATGACTACTTGGCTCTGAAGACCTTGTGCGCCAGAGAAGTGCTCATTTCAGTTGGAAACCAGATGGGTGTTGGTAAAGAGTCTGGTAAGAAGTGGCAAACACCTCTCATTTGGCGTGCATGTTTCATTTGAAATAAATTGCAAGACGTTCTCTATTTATTTATATATACATGATAATGGTTCACATAAGCAAATATTTCTCATCTTAATTTACACAAGAATCACACACTAATTTCGAAATGATAAGGCACATTTTTAAAATGGATGAAAACAAAATGTCCTGAAAGCTTACCATAAAACATGTGTATTCTAACCCCGGGATTCCACCGGGTCCGTCTGCACCGCGGTTTTGTTCCGACCTCCTACAGCGCCAAACCCCACCGGGCGCGTTTCAGAAGCGGAGCGTCTTGCGTGCCGGCTCGCAGTTTTTGTTGATTTGGGCATAATTCCTGGACAGGCTACTTTGAACAGACAAAGTTAATAATAATTGTAATAGTCCAGTTATAAACGACATGAATCAAAGATGTGTTGCTGTATTTTAGTGGTAAAAAAAATGCATTCATCATCATAATTATTCTATATATATATAATTTACACAGTGCCTTTAAACCGGAGGAGAACGCTGGCATTTCTCCTCCTACTTGAAAGACTATGGAGGGATAGGGTCTGCAAAATTTGTTTATTTTGGGGATTGACTGGATGTCAAATGGACAGACCCGGTGAAATCAAGGGGTAACGGAATAGTTCAAATAAAACTGTTTTCTGCACTATTGTATTTGATATTTTTCTGCTACAAATCCATGTGGTAATTGTTGATGGAAGTTGCTTTTTATATCCATAATTATAAAGAAATACTGGGAAGTCTTTTTAACCGTGGTGTTTTAAAAGACAGTAGTCTAACTCGGCAGCAGATTATGATTCCTTGCGTGTCGATGTGAATGACATCTGTTCTCTGTCAGGTTGCCAGAAATTCTCATGTTCATAGAAACATTTGATTGTGCTCCCTCCTTTTAGATATTTATATTGTGGCGAGTCCCAACAACGAGCAGTACGCTCTGAAGCTTCACAGGTTGGGTCGTACCTCCTTCAGGAACCTGAAGAACAAGAGAGATTATCACCAGCACAGGAAGAACGTGTCCTGGCTCTACCTCTCTCGGCTTTCTGCCATGAAGGAGTATGCCTACATGAAGGTATGTGGACAAATCAAAAAAGGTTCCATGTTCCAATTCCTACGATGTGAAGTAGAAATCAATTTCGTGTGCAGCATCTTTTGAGTCCCTTTTTCTCATTTTTTTAGGTATTGTACGAACGGGGCTTTCCCGTTCCCAAACCTGTGGACTATAACCGACATGCAATAGTGATGGAGTTCATCAATGGATATCCGCTGTAAGTAAACAAGCCATTCTTCTCTCTTACTTTATATATAACACTAACGAAAGCATTCTTTTCCTGGTCTCTTTTCCTAATATTAAATGTTCGTATTGTTTGTGTGATGTCTTTCAGGTGTCAGGTGCATAAGCTGGAGGATCCATCACACCTGTATAATGAGTTCATGGAGCTCATTGTCAAACTGGGCAATCACGGCCTGATTCATGGAGACTTCAACGAGTTCAACCTCATGCTGGACGACCACGACCACATCACTATGATCGACTTTCCTCAAATGGTGTCCACCTCGCATTTAAATGCTGAATGGTTCGTTACCGTGACAATTTGGAAAATAAATGAACACCTATAATTAATTAAACAAAACTAAATATGTTTTTTTTGTTCACTTTTCATATCTTTCTTTATAGGTATTTTGACAGAGATGTCAAATGCATCAGAGATTTCTTCGCCAGAAGATACAATTACGAGAGTGAGCTCTACCCAACATTCAAAGACGTCAGGTAAATACTTATATTTATGTTTCGTTGCCAATAAAATTACTGAAATGCATCAAAAAGATTCTTGTTCTTGTTATTTCGAAATGCATTTAAGCTATTTTAGCAACCACGGGAAAATGTTGTCTGCCTTGTTTATTAACATGTAAGTTGTTCAAAATGTGTCCCGACACAAAATCTTGCATTGATTGTTTTCTTTTGTACAATTATTTCTAAAAACGCGATTTGCAAATAAAAAGCAAGCCTTAGTTGATCTTCTGTGTCATTGTTTATTCCTACAGGCGATCTTGTTCTCTAGATATCGAAGTATCAGCTAGCGGCTTCACCAAAGACATGGAGAGAGACAGTGCATTGCTTCACCCAGCAGGACCCGATGAAGAGGACGACGATGAAGAGGAGGAGAGTGATGACGAAGAGGCAACAGACGAGGAGGAAGAAGAGGAAGTGGACATGGATGAATATAAACATGCAATGCTGGAACTAGAAGGTCTGAAAATCAGCGACTCCACTGCAGACAAACACGAAGAGCAGAGCGAGAAAGAGGAAGAACAAAAAGAGACTGAGACAACGTCGCCTGCTGTAGGAGAGGAAGAGGAAGAACAAAAAGAGACTGAGACAACGTCGCCTGCTGTAGGAGAGGAAGAGGAAGAACAAAAAGAGACTGAGACAACGTCGCCTGCTGTAGGAGAGGAAGAGGAAGAACAAAAAGAGACTGAGACAACGTCGCCTGCTGTAGGAGATGAAGAGCCAGGGAAAGACTTGGAAAAAGAGTTGAGCGAGGCAGAGGATGAGTGTGCAGAGCTGGGAGACCTTTCTGCTGCGAACAAAGACTTCAAACCCTTCAGGTAAACAAAACAAAAAAAGTTAGCATGTCCAATATCCAAAATGATGTATATTTCCTAAAATAAGTTTGAATACTTCACCTGTAGCTGCCACAAAGTCAACACATATTTTAAGTTTTGATTAATAGGAATGGCAGGTAACTGACTTTCATTTTGTTCTGCTGTTAAACTCATTGCAATTTCTTTTACTGTGTTTTTCCTGCAGAGACTCAGACAGTCTTCTACAGATGGCAGAGCACATGAGGAGGAGGAGGACAGACAGCGAGGGCACGATGGGCAGCATGGGGAGCTGTTCTACAATACCACTAGTAAGTCAACCACAGAAACACAGCTTTCTAGGCCCTTTTTGTTTGTTTTATGTATACATGTCACACTGTAGGACTGCGGGAAACGATATTTCTGGATGTATAACACATGTAGAATTTTTGACAATAAAGCTGACTTTGACTTTAGCAAAGTGTATTAGACATGGGTCAAGTTGGGAGACAGTACCATTATAAAGAAACACTGAGAATAATTTATCACTACAACTTTCTTGACAAAAACGTAGATATCCTGTAGGTGTAGCTAAAGAGCTTTCATGGTGATGCAGTTTGTCAATGAATGTGTCGGTTGACTTTTAAAGAGAGAGAAAATGTCTGCATACTGTTGTGTCCTGCCTAGCACGGACATAAAGCGTAAACATTGGTCCGTAGTAACCTGCTGTTGTTTGGTGTGTGCTGCAGGAGGTTGTCCGTCAGAAGGTGCGGAGGCAGCTCTCCAAACAGCAGAAGGCAGCGCAGAGGAGACGCCTGCAGAAGGGAGAGGCCAACCTGGTAACCAGTGTCAAGAGAGACAACGACAGCAACATCAAGTCTAGTATGGAGTCCGACTCCTTCTGGGGATAAATGGCAGTCCAGAGATGCACAGACCAGATTCATATCAACAAGTCTGTTGCATTGTCCCTGCTTCTGTGTCTGATGAGTTGAAAACAAATGAAATTGGATGGATAATCTCAGCAGGAGAGTTTCTGCAGCAAATCAACTGTCCTGTACACAAAAGAAGACTGAAAACAAAGTGCATGTATTCAGCAAATCATCACACTGACCAGTAAGAAGACTTTTCTGTTTGAACTGTAGTGAACTACCATGTTCAACATACAGTGTAATGTAAATATCAACTGCTTATAATGAAGCTGTATGTTTGATAATAAACCCATTTAAACCTTACTGATAAGGTGTGTTTATCTCTGTTTGTTCAAAAAGATTGGTACATTAAAAAAAAGGTCAAAACATGAAATGCACCTGTGCTAAACAGGGTTAGCTCATGGTGGCAACAAAAGACAGAGGCCTATAGAGTAACTTTTACTATTATTGTGATTTCAAGTTCAGGTTTATTGCTGACCAAGTTACTCAAATGGATTTAAGAACAAACGGATTGCACGTTCCTGAAGAGCTTTTATTTATCCTAAACTCTAGTGGTCCAAAGGTCTCCCAACTATTATGGTAGTTTGAAAAGATTCCTAACTCCACCCTTCGGGCATCCAATCAAAAACAAGCAGGTCCTGACACACGATTGGGAATGCTTCATAACGCAACACTACTAAAAGCATTAAATAAACACACATCCCTTTCCCCTTCGCATGGGCACAACCTAGCTGAGACATAACATGTAGAAGAGGAGAAGGCAGAGGACTGAGAGCTGAGAAACTACTCGGACTAAGAATTTGGTTCATTTATTAGAGAGCGGCTTTCAGAGAGCAAGTTAATTCAGGCTTCAACAATGGTTATTCAAATTGAAGAGGGTGAATGGAGCTCAGACCCTGGACTTCATGGGCTCAAATTAGTGTGTGAAGTCGAAAGTATCCCACCCCCATACATCTTAAACACTCATTTTGGGTAGAATTGTCTCCAATGTTATGAACACTGACGGTATTTCATATAAAAAGGAACACCCAGTCACCTTTCCACAGACATTTTTACTTTTCCTCAAGGTGCCACATTGTGCCATCTGTGGTTCAACTTGGCCACTTTGTGCAGGTCTCTAACTACTCGACTCTGTTCAGGGATTAGCCAGCTGCACGGCCCGAGGGGAGGGGCTCAGCATTCCAGCCAAGCACCTCTGTGAGTGTGTGTGTGTGTGTGTGTGGGTGCATGTGTAGAAAAAGTGAGGGGCCCTCTGAGCTAATTGGCAGTGAGGTTGACAAAGGTGGTCCGCTTCAAAAGAGAAACCCTGGTGAGATGTTCACACAGGAGAAGGGAAGGGGAGTACGGGAGAGTAAGAGGGGATTTCAGATGTGGAGTTTATTCCTCATGGTCTTCCCATCCTGAGTTGTGATGGCGGTCGTCGTTGGTCATTTCCAGGGACATATGTGCTGTTTGGATGGATCTTTTTGATGAGAGGAAGGATTTATTGAGGCAGCTGTGAAAGCAAACTCTGGATGGAGATGAGTCAAGTGGAAGTGGAGGAGAGCATCATGTCATACCTGTCACAGAGCGAGACTGACGCCAGCCCCAAAGACTGTGAGTAACTCAGAAGCTTTGTGAGAGACATGATTTTTTTTTACAGGAAATAAACTATTTATTTTAGATATTAATCTCTTAAAATTGTAACAGGTGTGTTTTCAACTGATGTTATCAGTATGGTAGTAGTTTTATCATGACTTTGTTATATTCCTAAAACAAATATCCATCAAAGTATCACTGCTACAAAAGACTTTACTGCAGTGAATACTTTAGAACAAAGTGAAGGACACAGAAAACCCTTTAAGCTATTTCAGGGTCAGAAAAATCTAAAAGGGTTGCACAATTCAGATTTGTTTAAGTTACAGGGTGGCGCTTACCGCTCCTTGTTCTACTTAAATAAACACTGTCTGGGATTTAAACTTGTATATTGATGTTAGCCTTCATACATATTCCCACATGTTTACTCAGTGAGCCAAAAATAAAGCTTTTACTCATGATGATAACAAAGTAGTAATATTACGTTTTTAAAAAGGAAATCATAATTATTAAGTTGGGATCATGTTCTCTTCAACAGTTTTCTTTGGGTTTTGGTTTGCTTCATTTCTGTCCTTGTCCTTATTATACGTGTGTGCAGTGAATGTGGTGGCGATGCTCCATAACTTCTGGGATCAGAGGCAGACGACTCAGTCCAACGGTTCCTCTGATGAATCAGACGGTTCTGTTGGGGAAGCCCCCGTCCACACTGAGAGCTTACTGCTGTACGAGTCTGCTGCGTCCCCCGGCCCCCCATACGTCTGCTATGTGACCCTGCCTGGAGGAAGCTGCTTTGGGAACTATAAGGTGTGTTTAGTATCATCTCTGCTGCCTGTTTCCTTGGTAGTGGGGGTATCACAGTATAATATGAACAATTGATATCATGAGGAGACGGAACAAACACTCACAGAAAGTGGAAAACAAGCTGTTAGCGATGCCATGATCTTAGGGCAGGAATACCGTGAACATAGTTTAACGTGACAGAGGAATAAATACACACGTACACCATCAGCTGTGCTTCAATCGGAAGTGACACGTTTTATTGCGCATGTCCCTTTTATCACGGGAATACAGGAAGTGATTAGTATAAGAGTACTAAATAAACAGAATTCATATATTACATTTCATAATTCAACACAAGCATTGCATTAAATTATCCTCTGCCTCCTAAATCATTTCATTTAAAAAGAGATTTTTTAGACTTTTAATGTTATTTTGGAGACAAAATGCACAAAAAACAAAGGTAACAATGAATTTCACTGAACGCATTATTACGTGTTTTAATGTAAGATGAAGTACCCTTTCTTAGTAGTTCCAACATCTACACTGTATCAATGATGTCCTATGTCTTAGTCAAAAACGTAGTCAATAATAAGCTACTATTTAGCAATTTCAAGATACATGATGCAGGTGATATTTCTGTCTTGATGGTTAAATTGCAGGGTGCGTTGAAACCAGAACATTAGTTGTAAATGTATAATCAATAATCATAACTTGTTATTCTAAGTAAATAGCTAAATGGCTGTAGTACTTTGCAGTTGTTTCTGTTCATTTTGCTGCAGCCGTCCCAGTAACAAGTTTTCTTACAAACTTTATTTGTTCTTGTTTTATTATCAACTTTCACATTAAGAGGTAAGCGCTGTTAAGCAAGAGTTGAAGGAGATTTGGTGGGGATAAGCACACACAGTCACACACACTTTTGAGGTTGTTTTAAATTGATGTCGTTCTGTTTCTGTTTCCAACAATGCCTCTCATTGTGACCCAGACGCAGCCCCCAGCTCAGAGGAGGCACATGATTGGTTATCTGTGAATGCCTTTTATGTTCTAATCTCATTGGTGAATTGAGTTCTGATCCCATGATTAGCTGTAATGAAGTGTAAAATCATCAAAATGTAGCCGAAAGTAGGCGCCCTTTTACTGACAGGACTTATTGACTCAATCAGAAAACCCCAGGCTCAGCAAACCGAGAAACTTTAGTTTAAAATGACAAAAGTTAGTCAAGTCAAAGTCAAAGTCAACTTTAATGTCAATCTTTCAGTTTGTGTGTACAGACAGAGAGATCGAAATACCGTTTCCCACAATCCCGAATACAAAACCAAAATATATAAAAATATGTATGCAAATATATATATACCTATATATACACAATCAAAAGACACATTTATACATATGCACACATTAAGACCTAAATAAAAGCACAACAATCAATATATACAAAATAACAGTCACTTTAATATCTTTGAGAATGTACATTAGTGCAAGACTGTCCATAGCAGCGTAAAAAAAAGTGTCTGGTGCTGGTTACATATTTGTCTCACTCTTTTTACAGGTGTGTGACACCCAGGCAGAGGCTCGGCGGGACGCAGCTCGCGTGGCTCTCATGAACTCTCTTGTGAACGAGCTGCCGTGCCGGCGCATCAACCCTCAGTTCATCACTCACAGTTTGGAGCAGGCGGCCACAGACAGTGCTGTGAGCGTGAGCAAACACATTATTACAACTTAATACAATCATTTAATATCAAGATGAATGTTGATCTTCACTGTTGTCTCTGTTTAGGTCACTATGGAGGATTCTTGTGATTCAAGCACCAGTATAGGAACCTACAGTTTGCTGCTTCATTCCTACAAAGGAAAGACAATGTTGGAGTTTCAGGTAAAAAATAAAGCCACGGCTGATTTAGCAAAATGCTATCTTTCTTGTTTCTGTCCTCATAAATCATGTGATAATTGTGTGTACTATCAATTTACTTCAAAGGATTCGGGCTTTGTAAGCAGGTACTTTTCTGCTCGGATATCTTGAATAGTTTATTTATAATTATAATTACATTTTTAGCTTTAAAATGTAACATGACGTAGGTATTATAATGCTAAACACAACAAGAATCACAACCAATGGGTGGTAATTATACCCACCAGTGTTATTATTAACCCCCCAAGTATGTTTTTGCTCATTTCTCCTTCTCCATTTCACTGTGTTAGACCCAGGCATGGTATGCAACACCATATATTCCTCGCTTTGTGTAAATAAACATAAGCTGTGCGCAGGCAGAGGGTTATTAGCTGGAGGAAATGGGTTCATTTTCATTCCATGGATCATAGAGATGAAGACTTTTTAAGGAATACACACACCTTCATGACAGACAATGAAATGGTTTGACACAAACATTTAAATCTCTCCAGACACAGCATCAACAATACGGTATGCAGCTCTCAGGGCTTCAGATATGTTATACATGCAGATACTCCAGGGAGGGTTCAACAGTTTGGTAGTCATGCAGAATCATAAAGTAGCATAAATAAACAGAGCAAAAAGGCCAGCTGATACAACATGGACCTCAACCCCAGACAACGTACAGTATGTGTCATATTCAGTGTTGGAAAGCTTCTTTGAAATTATGGCTTTTTGATCTACCAATTACTTCACATAGTATATTAGAGCAAAGTTACCATAGGCTAAAACTCTGGCTTCTTTTACAAAAGTAGTTCAAACTAAATAAAGGTCACAGGCCAGCAGAAAAAGCCTCCCAATTGATTTTATTTTCAAAAGTGATATGCAGGTCTTATATAAACCAAAAAACTGTATTTAATTTCAACGTTTTTAAGCCGCTTGACCAACTTGAGCACTGGCCTAAAAAAAGCAGTTTTGTAACATCTGACTTCTTAAAAAAACGACGTTCCCCTTGAACCTTTGTAACATTATAAACAGCTTGAACACAGGTCACAGTAAAACATATTTGTCCTGTTCAGAGCAGAATTAAAGAGGGTCAATTACAGTACAGTAAAACATTGAATAAAAATGGTTTCCATTTATGCCCCACACATTTTTTGTAGGTAAAGAAGTTAGCTGAAAATGGAAATATAAACCACTTGAAGTACCAGCAAGCCAAATACAGTTAACCTTTAGTTACATGTAGTTCACTACTTCCTAAGATTGGTCATATGTTCCATCTGTGTTTCATGACATCAATTGTAGTTAATGTACAGACTTTCTCTGTTAAACACTAAAGTCATTAGCTCCTAACACAGGGCAGCTGTGTTTTATAAATCAGGGGTAAAACCTACCTGGTGCATAAAGATTTACAATATCTTTTCAAACCAATCATTCACAGTTTAGGTGTGCGTTCAAGAAATACCCTGATAATATGTTATCTTTGTCAGACCTCCGTACACAGAGCTGGATGTTTGGGTTTGTTATTACCGTCATTAATCATATGGTTGCACAAGACTCTCTCTCTCTCTGTGTGTCTAATGGTCACCCACCTCCTCCCCCTCTCTTTCCCTGTATAGGAGATGATGACAATTTTCCAGTTGTTGCAGTGGAACGGGACACTGAAGGCTCTGAGGGAGAGGCAGTGCTCTCGGCAGGTACAGGTTTTGAGGATATCTTATCCCTGGTTTCAGTTAACTTAAAAAAAACACAGGATATCTGCTGCTGCCACAAGAATAATGTAGACGTGACGTTAGTGAGCTAAGAGTGGATTTATCGCTACTTTAATACAAGGGAATAAGTTGTGTTGAAGTAGGCCAGAGGTGGGAGAAGTACTCAGATCTTGTAATGAAGTAAAAGTCGAAGTACCAGAGTGTAGCAATACTCTGTTACAAGTAAAAGTCCTGCATTCAAAATGTTTCTCAAGTAAAAACACAAAAGTATAAGCATCTAAATATACTTAAAGTACCAAAAGGAAAAGTTATATTGTGCAGAGCGGCCCATTTCAGAATAATATATATGATATGTTTTGATTATAAATATTTATGCATTGAAGTGTTGTCAAAGCTGGTAAAGGTGCAGCTAGTTTTAGTAATTAATGCTTTGTTTGCTGCAGGGTAGTTAATGGATTTTCTCCAGGTGTAACTAAAGTATTTTTAAAGTGTTGATTATATATTTCACATGATTAATCAAACATGTAAAGTAACCAAAGGTATTACAAAAATGTAGTGGAGTAAAAGTACATGACTTATCTCTGAATTGTAGTAGAGTAGAAGTACAAAGTAGCAAATCATTGAAATAGTCAAGTAGAGTACAAATCCCTCAAAATTGTACTTAAGTACAGTACTTGAGTAAATCTACCTTGTAACTTTACACCACTGGATGCTGCATACTGATTATTGATTATTGATTATGTTATTTCCTTCCTCCCAGAGTGTGATTTCCTATTACTCCCAGAGAGGACTTGATGAGTACATGCGCAGCAGCATGGCTCTGGATTGGCTGGGGCGGGAGCAGAGGTCAGCGGGGCGCCTGGGGGAGGAGCTGCAGGTGGCGCAGAGGGAGCTGGTGTTTGCCCGCCGCCGAGGCATAGAGCTGCGCTTCTACAAGGAGAAGACAGAGATCCTCAGCTTGGCTCTGAGTCAGGCATACATTCACCACACACCTGAGGCCTTCAGTGAGGCGTCCAGTCACCCATACAAACAAGAAGAACTTCCTCTACACACATTATTCAGCCACATCACAGACGTCCAGATAACCCCACCCTGCAGTCCTTCACCACCCCTCCAGAAAACACAAAGAAAACAGTCTGTCACACCTCTGGCAAACACTTCAGCTCATAACAGTCCTGCTCCGTGCTCACAGTACACATTTCTGCCTTGATTTTAAAATAGACTGAAGCCGAAAGTAAAGGATGGACTTTGTCTTTGTAATAGATCTAAAACTCTTTCACTGGAGAGGTCACATCACATCTATGTAAGCATAAGAGTTCTGTGAAAAAGATTGTGCTAAGTTTTGTCTAAATATTAATGTTCTAACCTTACTTACACTCTTTTGTGACTATAGAACAAGGAACTTGAGCTAGATAGGGTATTTAAATCTCCTACACACCAGAAAAGCAGCATTCAAATGATTTAAATCCATTTGCTGGATGTAGTTAAACTATAAAAAGTGTCTGGCTCTCTAAGTTTGTATGAAGAGCACTCTGCTTTCCTGCCTTAGCTTTTATACTGTATACGTTCAGTTGTGTCTTCGTTTAGCCAATATTATGATTCACTTACATAAAAAACAGGAGTTTAAAAATGATATATTTAACCCTGTTACTATTCAATTCAATTCAATCAATTAACTACTTTATCTACCAGCAACTCCTCCCTCCCTGCCTCACTCTTCCTTTCTTCTTCTCTGCCTAGCATGTCATCTGGCATGTCAATTCCCTAAATGGAAATTACTTGCCAAGGCAATTCAGGATACTGACGGACCCTGTGACAAGTTGCATGATGTGTTGGACGTATGCTATGAGACAGTAATACATGTAACACAATGATGGCATTATGTCAGAGAGAAGCTGGATATAAAATACAACCTGGTTTGTATTTATCAGGAGACAACAGGATGGCTGGTCATGTCATAATTTTAAGAACTAGCACAATGTTCCTCATTGTAAAAATGCATAGTGATTTAGAGCATTTGATTATCTTTGGTTGGATTGGTTGGTGGAAATGAACGTATTTTAAAGGGAAAATGTTTTGTGTTTTTTTTTTATCATTTTTGTACATGTTTGGAAATAAATATGTTTTGCTACTCATGACCTGCCTGTTGATTCACTGCTTTTGAAAGTGTAGTATGGCCTATTACAGACATGATCACATATTATTCTGAAACTGGCCCTTCTGTAAATTGAATACAATTGTTTATGAAGTATGTTTTGATGCTAATACTTTTTTTAATTTTCTGTAAGTTTATTAGATTGATGCATGAATTTTACATGTTACATAGTATGTGTACTCTTTAGTTTTGCTGCTTTTACTGAAGTAAAAATACTCAAGTACTTCTATTATCACTGAATTCCATTGGGGTTTTCTGGCAAAAAATAGATATCCTGAATCAAATTAGATCTAGCAGTGAAGGGAACTAAACCTACCCTGGATAAACATTTTGTGCTTTGTTGAGACCACCAGACTCAGGGATAGTTTTATCCCAGACAGAGCAGGCAATATGACTGCTAAACTCCTGAGCTCTCTGAAGTGCCTACATAACTTTTAAGCATTTATCTGTTCGCATTTCACATATGTATTTGTTATTAAAATAAACATTATTTCATTCCTGTACAGTATTTCATTTTACATTCAATTATTTAGCTTATTTCATTCAATTTTACATGTATATAGTTCACTTCTCCTGCATTTCTTGCACATTGGTCACTTGAACCATTCTCTTGCCCTATTTTATTTCGATTCCGCTGCTTTTTGCGCTATTTTGAATTGTCTTATTGTTTTATGTCTAATGTATTTACGTTTCATTGTTGAAGTAGCCAGGGACTTAATGTTTTGTTTCCATTGCCATATCTACACTGTAGCTCATAGACTGTATAGCTGTAGCTACTGTGCAAGTGACAATAACACTTTGCATCTTGAGTCGTGTATCTAGTTTGGGCTCTCTGGCTCACCGTAGAGAGGTGGAGTTGTCACGTGATTAAAGATTGTGATTGCGGAGTTCCTGGAAGAAACAAAACAAATGACAGCTGACCAGCGGACGAGGCTCCTGCCGCCTGTCACTCTATTCGACGTGTGGACATCTTATTTTGATAAGGTAAGGAACAAAAAAAAAATGCTTTAAGCGAATAGAGTTGTTAGGAGAAAGACATTGAAACGAGCTAACATCTACGTGTTAGCTTAGCTTCGCATTGGTAAAGCGTCTGCAGTTGTTTTGCTAACGACAGCTGGAGATTATTAACAGGGACTGGTTTCGTTTATCCTGAAAAGTGTTCCCTGGATATTGTATCTATGCTGAAAGACATGCTAGTTGTTTCCTTGCCTTGACAGAGACGTTTTTCTCAGCGGCCACAGAAGAGTGTTTTGTTTACAACCCGTGAACAGTGTTTATCTTGACAACACAGCCAGCCACTAACTGCTGCTTATCGCGGGACAGACCATGCGAGCTATTCCAGCTAATGGTTTGTTTTTGTCATTATCCGGTTAAGGTGTGACGATGTTTGTTGTCAGATGATCAGCAGTGTTTCCTCCCGGAGACATCTCGGTCAGCTGGATGTCAATGTGATCTGAGTTGTGTACAAAGCTGAAAGATGGAGGCTGTAAGACCAAAGAGGACCAAAGCAAAAACCAGCGGAAAATCTCAGGTGATCAAAGAGTTAATTCTTCTTTCTTTAAGGTAGAAATTCTGTGCCTGTCAAGTTGTGGTCAGGATAGATGTATTCAGTCCATTACAAAGCAAGAAAACACTTCTTCTCACAGCTACAGACTAATGAGTGTATCCAATCAAACATTGTTTTATGTCTTAAGCAATTATGATGGAGCTGGAAAAAATGACAGAGCTAATCACTGGGACACTATGCTGTTAGGATAATATCATTTATTAGATCTGCCATATTCATGTGGTGATGTGTTTTTGTTAAGTGTATGTGTAGAATGTCATATATTTCTTTAGTTCTCTTGTCTTCTAACATATTGGGATCATGATGGAATTAAAAATGTCACTTTAATTTGTTATCTTTTAGATGTTATGCTTCTGTATTTGACATAATCCATAAATGAAATCATCAATCGTCATGGTGTTTTCACTTTAGTCACATGCTCTTTGTCACAAGTGGAAAACAACTACATACCCTGAGTTGTTGACCAATTACTTTTTAAGAATGTATTTGTATTTGATTTTGTTTTCTACATGTTTTCAGCTGGTCAGAAAGCAGAAGCAGGCCGAGGAACACAAAGGCGCCACAGCTCCCTCAGCTGTTTGTGATGAGGCCTTCACTGACATCCCCCTCAGCCTGCCCTATCAGGAGCCAGTGGAGGAGCAACGGGACTCTGTTCAGACCCCCAAGATCACAGCACAGCCATCAGATCGACCCTCTGAGAAACATCAGACGTCCTCATCACATACTTTATCCACATCAGTTTTAACTTTACAGTCACCGCTGACGCCCCAGGAGACAGTACCTCTGACAGAGTCAAAAGATGAGGAAGAGGAGGATGGGGGAGTTGCAGATCAGGGGGCTGAGCTTAAAGTAGAAGAACAGAACACTGAATTAGGAAATTACACACAATCATGGAACCAGCCTTGTGTTTCAACTCAGTTTCAGATCCCACATGCCCCGAGTGCCCCTGCACTGTACCCATGTCTCCCAACACTGGAGGAAGGCCCCATGATGTCGCTCTGTCAAGAAGCCGTGAAAGAGAGGGAGAAAGGACCTGCAGTGTTGTCGCTTCCTGAGCAGGAGTCCTCCCTTCCAAGTTTTCAGCTTGTTGAATCTGTTGCAGAACTTTCTAGGAGCAAACTTTACCCAGAACTACCCAAGACAGCTCCAGAAATGCAGGTACTGTGATCTCATTCACCAAGCGGGGACATTAAATTAGATTGTTCCGCTGTGGGTTGTTTTAAACAGAAAAGGACTTAATGGGAATAACTAGAGTGTTTATTATACTCTTGGAAATGTCAGCTTATAAATAAAAATATATCCTTCTAATGCGACTGCACATAAATTAACCACTTCAGCAGATTATTTTTGATCTCTCTGTCAATTGCCTCTACCTGTGGTTATGGTTTAAACCATATCGGTACCAATTATTTTTGATTCATATATATTCTTCATGTCACAACATTATAATAGCACATGTAAACACATTTGAGTGCTTTTAATGCTTAGATCCAGGTAATAACATAGTGAACCATTTTCTGAACTCATTGTATCCATGCAAACATGTGAGAAAACCTCTCTCATCTCATGTTTTTCTTTTGCAGCCGTTCTCACTGGAGCAGCTGAGTGTGTGGGAGCCTGCCGGAGGTTTGAGGGCCTTGTTAGAGGGTGTGGAAGTGTGTGCAGCCCAGTTTTGTGGCCTTGCCCGGCAGGAGAACCACGAACTAACCGAACTACTGCAGAACTACTGGCGCTGTCGTAGACAGCTGACTCAGTCACACACACAGCTCCACACACAGTCCTCGGACTGCAAGAGCACTCAGAATCGTCTCTGGAGCTTCAGAGATGAACAGCTTACACTTCAGGTATGGTGGTAAACACATAAATATAGTTTGTAGGGAAAACAACTAACTAATGTCCTTTTGCTCTAATGACATTGTTGTTATAAATTCTTCTCTACAGGGTTTGTGTGCAGATCAGTCGAAGGTGTGTGGATACCACCGCTTCCAGCAGGCAGAGTTCAGTCAGAGTGTGCTGGCTGAGCTGAGCAGACTGTTTGAAGCTCGCAGTGAGCTGCTCCATCAGAAGGTGGCGCTTCATGCCTACACTGCTCTGCTGTCACGCCTCCAGGTGGAATCATACTTGTACCGTCTTCTAAAAGGTGAATACATTCCCATTCACCAACATGTTGCTCTAAAAAGTAAAGCCAATGTTGAAGTGCCTTAAAATGTCATTGTAAAAAGAAGAGTAATTGTGCAAAAGCCTTTGAAAAAATTACTTCACTTGATTTATTGCCTCAGTAAATGTTTTCTCAAGGTCCCTTGAAACGAGCGATTTAGAGCTTAAACTCAATCTCTATTTTCAAGTGACCACCACAACTCCTGACATACAGCCCACGCACAAACTCTACATCAGCTATGTGTTTTATTTTGATCAGATTGTTCCGGCAGCAAAACACAGCCTTGTTCTCTCCAACCCTTGAAAGAGGCAATCAGTGTCCTGTTCAGCTTCACTCGTAGAGTCCTGGATGACACACAGTTCCAGACAGACATCCATCACTGGCTGGAGAGATTGGTACTCATACACACACAAACACATTTCTTACTCTTGGTTACATTGGTTGACGTTTGTTGTTGTTCAACTGGTTGTGATGTACTCTCCAGGTGGCGGTGCTGCTGCATGTTGGAGGGTCAGGAGAGCACCTGTACCTGCTGTGCCATCTTCTCTGCTCTCCTGCGGGGGT